GTGCATTAGGCAATGGTGACATTTGTGTGATTATGTCATCATGCATGATTACAACCCCAGATCGGCAGCGAAGACTTTTCTTTTAACCTCCGAAGGAGGAAGCAAGTGCTCCCATTTCAAAGAGATTTATCAATGGTCGGAGAGCCTTCACAATCAGAATTAATGTGACTTATTGAGTTGAGCCCTTCCTGCAGGCGTCAGGCCATTTGCAAAACGCAATTCATCTCTATCTTTTTTTTTTTTTTAAAGTGATATTTGTACCACGCAGGCTTTGAAGAAAGGCTCCGACGATTTGGAAGGACATTAACTTATTTTGTTAAATGCATTTATTCATTAAATCGTTATGCTGCCCATCTCCCCTATAAGGCAACTCTGGGTGGCTTAATGTCTATGGAGATTCTCAGGTCACGACTGTCCCAAGGGGGCTTTTTCAGCCAGAACTGAAGAAGCTTCTTGGATGGGGAGCAAAATGTCTTCAAAGAAAAAACAAAACAAAAGAAAGCACCTTTGAAAAAGCACCTTTGGGGGGTCTGGGTGGCTTACAGGAGACAAAAAAGCAAATAGACAAGTAATTAAAATATTAAATCTATGCAAATTAAGATCTTTAAGACCATGCAAAAAGCCTAGAACCATGAGACAGAGGGAAGAGGGATGAGGTCTTCTAACCCCATCAACTAGCTCCAGTGGTGACTGCCCCACCGATTGGCTCCAAGCCAACTGGCAACGCCAAGTTTTAATATCCTTGTAGAAGGCCAAAAGGAAGGGGGCAGTTCTCACCTCCAGTGGTAGAGTGTTCCTTGATCCCTCCCACCCGATTTCTTTGGCAGGTGGGGTCCCTAGCAGGTCTCTTCCACTGGTGCAAGTGGACGGGCTAGTCCCATTGGGGTGAGACAGCTCCTCAGATACCCCGGACCCATGGCATATAGGGCTTTAAAAGTAATAACCGACACCTTGAATTGAACCAGTGTAACCAATGCCGTGTCAAGCACCAGGGAAATCAGAAGATTCAGGCAGTTTAAATAAGTATAAAGATTTATTGCAAGCTGAAGCTCTTTACAAGAATCTGGCCAACTAGCAGTCAAGGGAAATGAGCGGGAGACAAGAAAGGCATTCAAGGTGGGCAGGACTCAGATCTCTTGTGAGCTCGCGGGGACTCGTGACTTATGACGCATTTGACCCCTCCCTCAGGCTCAGCCTGGTCATCTCCAACAGCAGCTTGCTCAACAGAGAGGTTAGGTGTGCAATTAAAGCTTGCTCGGAAGAGAAAATCTGGCTACATTTAATTAATTCCTCACAGAAAAATGAGAAAATTGCCGTCTTCATTGTTAAAACTAAGCTATTTTGTTTATTCAATTATACAAGGTCAGGAAGCTTTTATCAGAGACTGCAAATCATCGTCCTCATTCAAGTATTTTTCAGTCTTCAGGGACTCTAGGTAATTCTCAGCCTTTTCTTTCTTTTTAAAATTAGTTTTCTCTCGATAAAGAAAAAAAAAGAAAATGAAATTGGTTCATCAACAACTTGCATCCCGGGAATATGGTTGCCTCCTCCTGGATTTTCCCAGTGATTTGCCCATGGTTTGGCATGCTTTAAAAACTAAATCAGAACACTGAGCAACAATAATAAAAAGATTAAAACACACACACAAAGTGAATTAAAGAAATAGATCAAAAACATAAGAGCCACGTTGAAGCACTTTAATGCCTAATAGGAGAGAAGAGAAGCAATTTTTTTTTTCTTTTGCTTTTTTGTGTCTAGAGAAATCTTTCCTATCTGTGTACACCTGGTGCCCTCTGGGGTATGGATGTCCAAACCCATAGTCCTCAGCCAGCTATTGGGTCTGGAGGCTACCATGTTGGGAAAGCTAGACCTCTACATCAAATGGAAAGAGAGCCCTGGATCTTCCAACCAAGATGAAAGCCAGCTCTACAAGACCAACATCTAACCCATTCAACCACATCGGTTGTAATACCTGGGCTGCTGGCTCTTCCTGTAAGTAAACTTAATAGTCTTAACCTTGGTTATTTCTGGAAACTAACCAAGGAGAGAAGCAACCTAAAACTAAGGAGAAACTTCCTGACAGTGAGAACAATTAACCAGTGGAACAACCTGCCTCCAGAAGCGGTGACTGCTCCAACACTGGAAGTTTTTAAGAAGAGACTGGACAGCCATTTGTCCAAAACGGTTAGAGATAGTTTCCCATGGCAAGTGTCTCCTTTAAATTTCAATGATTCCCATAACTTGTTCATTCTGCTTTCAATGGGGGCATTTTCGTGGATAGCTGATACATTGTCCTCTTCCTTCTGAGCTTCTGTTTGTCTCTCCCAGTCTGTTTCCTAACACAGAAAACCTGAAACAGGAGAACAGGGGCCTTCCCGTAAAAGTACAAAAAAATAACAAAATGTGTATAATTTTCACGTATCCGTCTCTTGTTTTATATAAAAAAGAAAAAGTGAGATTATCCCTGCATACAATCACTCTTCTTTTGTAGCTCGGAGACCTTAAACCTCCAAGTTTTAAAAAAAGAAGTGCCATCTTTTAAAGGTTAAAATGTGTGCAAAAGAGCATCAATAAATTTTTAAAAAAGATCAAATTGTTTAAAAGCTACACAGAAAATTCTCCTAAAAAGCCACTGGATGTACCAAGAGTCCAGTCCAGCGGCAGACAAAGAGGCTAGTTGATGCAATGGCAAAATAAGTCAACCGCAAGATTCTGCAGGATTTAATCCCTTACTACTAATAAGGGGAGAAACAAGGCATTTGACTACATAGCTGAAGGTCCAAAGGATCCGATAAGCCAAATAGGCAGAGGCATAAAAAGAAGAACCCCCCTCAAATTTTCCCATCTCCAAATCATATAAAAGGACTGAATAGTGTTCATGGCTCTCTTTTTCCTTCCACACCCTATAGAATGATTGTTCCCTTCAAATATTGCCCCGCTATAATTTCATCCTTTATATCAGCAGTTCATTTCTTTGCTTAACTGTTCCTCCTCCCCCCCCACTGTTTATGATAATTGAATAATGCTATAAAAGATAATGATGGCCTCCATTCCAGCTTGATTCCTAGGGATCTCACAAACTGTGGAATTTTGCTTGCAAAAACACAGAAGGTCATTGCATGTTTTCCAGGATGTATTTATTTATTTATGTATGTATCTTTGCAACTTCCTGGCATCGTAGCAGTACGGGGATTCTTGATGGTCTCCCATCCACATATGAACCAGGGTTGACCCTTCAGAACTTGGATAAGGGTTAAAGGCACCACGTGCGAAGACTAATTGTGCTAATCTGAGACACCAGCAAAGATGAGAACAGACAAAAGCGCTTTTTCTCAGCTAACCTTTGGGTTCTTCTACCAGCCACACTGGATGCTTGCAACCAGGAAATTTACTCTGTTCCCACTGCTAGTCCTCTGCCATGCCTCTTTGGAGGTTAACTATCTCCAAACCGGAGTTAATTCCAAGTTTTTGAGATTACATGTAGTCCACGATTTATAATCCCAGTTGGGGTCATCATCAGGTCTTCTGAAAATGCATCCCCCAGTTTATGCAGAAGGTGAAGAAGAAATACTTTGACAAAGAAGGGGGAAAAAATCTATCTTTCCAATCAGTTCCTGGAATGACCCCTGTTCTTACAGCTTCTAAGAGAGAAAGGAATAAAATCTCCTTGTTCAATTTTTTTTAACATTTTTTATCCTGCCTTCATTCAGTTTCTCCACGATGCCCCACATCTCTCCTCCCCCCCCCTTTGTTCTCTGATGACCCAACCAACTACTTCCTGGGGTGATTTGTTTTTCTGCTTGAAAATAATGTGAAGAAGTTCTTGTTTTTTCTCTGAACACTTGATCTCCTTGGGATGCCCTCATCAATGTATTTCTGCAGTTATTTATGTTGCACTTGTGATGCCCATGGTCCACTTTTTCTCTTCTCCTGTCTGTGCTCTCTTTTGGATTTAGCTTTCCTTCCTGAAAGATGCATTTTAGAATATCCCTGGCCCTCCTGTCTCATGTTGGTTTGGGCTGACCCCTTCGTACATTGTGGAGTGCAACTCAACTCTTGTGGCTTTAACAAAAGGCATCGCTAGGCAATATGAAGACATGTGGTTCTTTTGATTCATTTCTATAGTTGCCCTCCTTTTTCAAGGACTCCCCCACCCCAACAGGTGGCCAGGTTGGAACCTGCTGTCAACTTCCCTGTTGCCTGTTGGCTACAGATAAGAGAGTTGTGAGTCCATTTCCCGTTACTTTCAGAATACCTACAACAGCATCAAACTCTTCCCGGAATTGGCACTTGCGTGAAAAAAGGCTGAAAGTCAATTTTTTTCAGTGATGTTGCAACTTTGAACAGTCACTAAATGAATTGTTGTAAGTCAAGACTACCTGTAATGAGGATTCTGGCAAGGTAAAGACAGCTGCAAAGCTTGATCCCAAGACTGTTATGCCTCTGAATGGGCTGCTGTTGGGTTCCACCAGATTCGATTGGTAAGAGTACATGAGAGAGAAACACAGAAAAGAGAGAGAGAGAGAGAGAGAGAGAGAGAGAGAGAGAGAGAGAGAAGAAGAAGAAGAAGAAGAAGAAGAAGAAGAAGAAGAAGAAGAAGAAGAAGAAGAAGAAGAAGAAGAAGAAGAAGAAGAAGAAGAAACAAACAAAAACAGAAAAGAGAGAGGGAGAAAGAGAAAGGGAGAGACAGAGAAACAGAGAGAGAGAAAAAACAGAGGGGGGAGAGAGAGAGAAACAGAAGAGAGAGAGACAGAGAGAGAAACAGTGAAAGAGAGAAACAGAGAAACAGAAAAGAGAGAGACAGACAAAAGAGAGAGTGGGAGAGAGAAAAAGAAACAGAGAAGAAAGAGAAGCGGAGAAGAGAGACAGGGAGAAACAGAAAGAGAGAAAGGAACAGGGAAAGAGAGAGAGAGAGAAAGGGGGGGCTGAAACTTTGCAAAGAGGCGTTGTAGAGGGAGGAGAAAGACGCGAGGAGGGGAGGGAGGCAGAGAAAACCGCGCGGGAGGATACTGAGACAGAGAAAGAATTCTGCTCCATCCTGGACGGAGATGGAAGTTGGATTTACCGGCCAGAAGATGCGCTGAAGGGGGAGGAGGGGGGCGGCTGCAGGAAGAGGGACCCTCGGCAAGCAGCCGCAGCTTCCCCCCCTTTTTTAAGGGTCCAGGCAGTTTCCAAACTCCAGAGCACCGGGACCCCCTTCCTCGGGGAGCGGGGGGGGGGCGTTCGGGATCCAAAGGAAAACCGCCCCACCTTCTTCGACCCCCCCTCCCCAACAACACACCGTTTTCTGCAGTTCAGCCTCCTCCCCCTCCTCCCCTCCTCCTCCTCCTCCTCCAGCCGCCACTCGGATCTTGTCGCGGCCGGGCTGGCCCCGGAACCATGCCGCTGCCCTGCCGGAGCTGGACGCTGGCGCTGCTCACCCTGCTCGTGGGAATCCTGCTCTTTGCGGACATCGCCGAGATCGAGCTGGAGATCGGGTACAAGAAGTGGCGCGCGAGAGGGGCAGCCCACCCAGCCAGCCAGCCGCCCACCTAGCCCCGCATCCCCCCGCCAGCCAGCCAGCCAGCCAGCCAGCCAGGGGTCTCGTCTCTTGGGGCTGCTTAAGAACAGTTTGGGAGGCAGGAGGAAATCCAGAGGGGGGCGGGAAGGCGGGGGGGGGGCTGAGTGGGGAAGCTGATAAACGGGGTGGGTGGGGGGTGGGTGGAGGAGACAGGTGGGGGCGAGGGAGCGGCTCTGCTTGCCTAGGCAGCAGGGGGAAGCAGAGCGGTGGGGGGGGGACAAAAGACAGGCTGCTGGAAGAAAGGGGGTGCCGAGAGGACTTCGGGGAGGGGCTGGGAGGGGGCGCCGGAGTTTTCTTTGTTTCCAGCGCCGCCTGTTCTGCCTCGGGCGCCTGGAGGAGGGAGGGAGGGAGGAAGGGAGAAACGGAGCTGGCGGGGAGGGGGGGGACGCTTTCTTTTTATCACATACACACAACACCCCCCCCCCACTCCGGGAGCGAAGAATCGGCGGCTGGCCAAAGCAGGGAAGGGTTGGGGAGGGGGCGAAGGGGGCGTGGAGGAAAGCACCCCGCCCAGCGCGCTCCTCAATTGCCATCGTTTCGGGAAACTCGCCTGGCCGGTTGTTGGGGTCCCCCCTCTGCCCCCCTCTTGCTTCTTTTGGACTCCGCACCCCACTTCCCGGACTGGCTGTTTTAATGTCCGGGAGGGGCTCAGCCTCGGTGTCGGCTTCCACTGCCGGCTAGGGAACCTCGACAGGGTTCCTCTGAGCAGGTGCAGAGCTCAGCTCCTTCTTGGCCGCTGCAGAACCGTTCCGGGACTTCGCCGGCCGGACCCCAAAAGGCAGCCAATCAGCCCCATCCCGGCAAAGCCCACTTTTAGTTGCCTTGGCAACCCCCGCGCTTAGACCCCCCCCTAAAACGGGGAAAGGGGGTCTTTTGCAAGCAAGGGAGCTGACGAGCCCCTGGGAAGAGTTTGGAAAAGACCCCAGCCTTAGCCCGGGGAAGACCTAGTCTGAGCGCCCCGAACCGGGCCGGCTCCCTGCGTTCGCACAATGAGCTAAGCCCAGCTCGTCTGAACGGCGGTGACTCGTTGGGTGGCTTAACGTGATGTAGGAACCCCGCCGGTTTGATTAGTTCATTGTTCAGCGGATTGTGCAGCCCTACGCACCCTCCTAAGACGCCTCACTTCCACCACAGAATTTAGCACAGGAGCGAAAGTGAGTTAAATAAATGAGGTGGGCTTTGCATGACTTATATGTTGGTTATATATTGGTTTTCCTGGCTTTAATTTGGGTGGGATTCCGCCCCGTTGTGACTTCTTCTATAAACCACAGTTAGACCAACCCTGCCTTAGTTTGACTAGCAACCCTACCTTAGAAGGAAAGACCAGTAGCTCCTATCCAGGCAGGGCTAGAAAAGGACTGGCGGTGGACCAAAGGGTTTGGAGTCCAACCCATGGAGGAAGGCTTATTAATGCCTATTAGCAACGGGCAAGGAGTGAGTCACGAATCTTCCAGGAAAAATAATTAGTTTTCAGCAGGATCCTGGAAGTGATAGAAAGAAAAGCAGTCAAATGGTTCTTCCTCAGCCTTGTTAGGAAAAAGGCACTTCTTGGTATGAAGATGGAGGCAGAAATGAGGAGGGGGTCACTTGTGGTCCAGAAGAGCAATTCAGTGAATGAGAAAAGCTTCAAGGATTGTCTGACGACATCCGGAGCACTTGTGGCTCTGGAAAACCAAACAGAAGCATTGCTGGATCTGATTTGGGACTGGGGGAAGTCAACATCTTGGGGTTGAGTTTCCAACACACCCTCAACTAGAACAACAGAATGACAGAACTGGAAGGAACCTTGGAGGTCTTCTAGTCCAACCAGCTGGTCTGGCAGGAAACCCTTTCAGACAAACGGTTGTCTGACCTCTTCTTAAAAAACTTCCAGTGTTGGAGCATTCACAACTTCTGGAGGCAAGTCCACTGGTTAAATTGTTCTCACTGTCAGGAAATTTCTCCTTAGTTCTAGGTTGTTTCTCTCTTTGATTAGTCTCCATCCATTGCTTCTTTTCCTGCCTTCTGATGTTTTGGTAAATAGTTGACCCCCTTTTTCTTTGTGGCGGTCCCTCAGATGTTGAAACACTGCTATCATGTCACCCCTAGTCCTTCTTTTCATTGAATTCCAGCAACCCTTCTTTATATGTTTTAGTCTCCAGTCTCCTAATCATCTTTGTTGCTCTTCTCTGCACTCTTTCTAGAATCTCAACATCTTTTTTACATTGGGAAGCTAGGGCAAGAAGTTTTATTATTCCATGTTTCTTGACACTCCTTGGCTTGGTGTCTTGTGTGAACCCAGGACTTGAGTTAATTGAGTAACTAGGTTAAATGTATCATGAGGCAGCCCAGAGGGACACTGGGTTTCACAGCTCAATTCTTCTGTGTAGATCAAGTTCGGGAATTTTTTCATGGCTAGGAGCAGTGTTGGGATTCAGCCAGTTCTCACCACTTCAGCAGAACCGGTAGCTAATTTTTGATTGCCCAGGCCCAGAACGGACTTCCGGAAGCAGCATCCACACAGAGAACCAGTTGTTCACCTATTTGACTCCCACCACTGACTAGGAGTCACCTAAGGTGACACAGGTGGGAGGTTCACCTGAGTTGGCAGGTACGGCACCTTGACCAGGTTGCAAAACTCTAGTCAGCCTCTGAGGACAGCTGAAGAGATGACAGATTCCAATTTACGACCAAGGTTTGAGCCCAAGGTTTCCACTGCTCAATGAAACATTTGTTTAAGTGAATTTTGCCCCAGTTGATGACCTTTCTTGCCACCGTTGTTAAGTGAGTCACTGCAAATGTTAAGTTAGTAACACAGTTGTTAAGTGAAATCTGGCTTCCCGATTGAGTTGGCTTGTCGGAAGGTTGCAAAAGGTGATCCCATGATCCGGGACCCTGCAACCGTCATAAGGATGAGTCAGTTGCCAAGCGTCTAAATTTTGATCACGTGACCCTGGGGTTGCTGCAACGGTCGTAAGTGTGAAAAATGGTCATAAGTCACTTTTTTCAGTGCCGTTGTAACTCCAAGCGGTCACTTCCTGTGCAAGACGTTGTAACCCTGGACCGTATTTCGGTAACCTGTCAGTGGTAACCAAGACAGACTGACCATTGAAGAGGCAAGGTTTTCCATTTTTTAAAATCTGTCTGTCAGGGTTGATGATGTTTTCTATAAATTACATTAAAGGCGCTTTTTCAGGAGGCAACTGGACTTTCTTGTTTTTCTTTGAAGACGTTTCGCTTCTCATCCAAAGAAGCTTCTTCAGCTCCATATGCTGGAGGGTTTGTCTTGTTCCCATCTCAAAATGTTGGAAAACTCTGCTTTTGATTTGACAGCAGGAATGGCTGGAGAAGATCCCAGGATGGAAGAAAAAGAAAAGAAAAGTAATTTGAGAGCTCCATATATTTAAGAAATACTTAAAAATTGGGCAGGGAATCCAGACTATTGAAAGAAAAATGACTTGGTTTGAAACTTGTGGTGAACATTTGAAATTATTACCACCGTTATGTGTTTCTGATGTCTTACAAGCATGCTGTTTTTTCCTCTGTATTTTCCCTTTCCTCTGTCCTGGAAAGCTGAATCTATAGCATATGACTTGGTTTTCTTTCCCAGTACTTCCACATGTGACATTGGCTTCCGGGAGGTTTCTTATTCGTTTGGGATGAATTTCTCTTTGTGTTCAGAGCAATTCATCTTTTTTTCTGTTTATTTTCTGAAAAATCTTTTGATTCAATCTACTTTTTAATGGAACAAAATGGGTGGAATGGGTGTACGGCCCATTGTCAAGCTGGCGTAAAACCAACCGATAAGAGGAACTAGTGGAAACAACACTTCAGATTGGATCAGAATATCTTTTGATAGATGACTTATTTAATGGTTCATTCATTCACTCATTCCATTTCTATAGCAAGTGATTCTAGGCAGCGGACTAGATTTAAGACCCGTTCTGCCCATTTTTACCTGAGACGATGTAGCTTTCATCTTGTGTTTATAATGTTAGTTTAACATTCAGTTGGAACAGGATACTTAAGAATTTAATAGAAGAAGAATAAAAGAAAATAAAAGAAGAAGAGATATCCATAAGGAGGGGGTTAAGTGTTAAAAAAGGGGGGGGCTTTACGTGGTTGGCCACCATCTTGACACTTTGACCCCTGCCCTCTTGGAACAAGAAGAGAAAATGTCAAGAAAAATTGGGTGATATTTAAAAGTGGATTTTTTTTTCACTTTCTACAAAAGTGAGACACTTTCATCTTAAGGAAGGAAGGAAGGAAGGAAGGAAGGAAGGAGGGAGGGAGGGAAAGAAGGAAGGAAGGAAGGTCAGATTGCCAAATCAATATATGAAGGAACAATAACGGGTTGAGAAAACAGGAAAACAAAATCATGGTTGGATTCCAGGCACTGTCACAATGTGTTGACTGACCTATTCTTCAAATCACCTGCGGGCAAGACAAGAAGAAAGGATAGAAGCTGATCAAAGAGATTAAGGGGAAATCCAAAATTAAGGGGAAATTCCCCCACAGTGAGAACAATTAACCAGTGGAATGGCTTGTCACCAGAAGTTGTGGGTGCTCCATCACTGGAGGCTTTTAAGAAGAGACTGGACAGCCATTTGTCCGGCATGGTATCGTGTTTCCTGTTTGAACAGGGGTTTGGATTAGAAAAATCTCCAACGTCTCTTCCAACTCTGTTATTCTGTATTTGGTATTCTAATCCAATTCAAAAAATAAAGTGAGAGAATTAAAAACCACAATCAGTCTACGAAGTGGTGAATAGGTGTGTTAGAAACAAGGATGCTTTGCAGAGATGAAAGAACTGGAGAGGTTTAATGAATAGGGTAGATTTAGTTTGATTTCCTTTTCTTATCTCTTATTTTTCATTCCTTTGCCTTGCTTCTTCTCACTTCTTCTCACTTGTCTTCTACCCCTTGCATAACACGATTTTACTTCAAAAGGGAAAAGTGTAATGCTTATCTAAGTTTATAAGTATGATTGGAATGTAGTTAAATGTATGGCTTCACCTCTGCTTTTTTCCCCGACCCTGTGGATTTATTTTTATGTTTACACTTTCAAGGCAAATACCTATTTTTTTTTTGTACAGAATAATGTGCTTTATTATGGGTATACATCTGAGAACTCAAATCACAGATGCCCCCTGAAAGCTTTAATGTAGCTTTCGGAGCCCGTCCAAATATAATGGTCACTAAATTGTAATGTTGAAGGTGACAGAAAGGGGAAGGAATTGTCAGATTCATGGGGAGCACCCATTAACTGCCTGTAATGTATTGTAAATGACTTTAATTTAATTTAAATGGAGTTAAACCCATATTCTTATCCTGACCCCACTGGAATTTGTCCAATGCCTATTCAAAAGCCAAAGGTGGTGTTTAGATTGAAAAGTGATGTGTGTACCCTTGCATTTGAAGGGGGGAAAGAGAGAGAAAGAGATGCAGGGGAGAGACAAAGAGAGAGAAAGATGGAGGGAGGGAGAGAGAGGGAGGGAGGGAGAGAGAGAGAGAGGAAGAAGAAGAGGAAGAGGAAGAGGAAGAGGGAGAGATGGTCTAGAGGAGGGGTGTCCAATCTTGGCAAATTTAAGACTCGTGTACTTCAACTCCCAGAATTCTCTTGCCAACTTGGCTGAGGAATTCTGGGAGTTGAAGTCCATAAGTTTTAAAGAGGAAGGGGTTAAAATCTATAAAGAGATTTCTTAAGCCAGCTTCATTTCCAGCTGGTTTACGCTTGGGAGACTAACTGCTGAAGGCTGCAGTGTGACAAAAAAAAAAAAAAAAAACCCAACCCTCTGGGGAAAGATGTAATAGATCTGAAAGAAAGCAGTCTTGATGAGTGGATGAATATAAGCAGAGAAATGAAGGGGTATCTTTAGTTATGAATGAAAGGTCTAAATTGTATCTGAGAAAGTATGAATTAGTGTTCGCCAGACTATTATGAATAACTATGAAAATAGGAATCTGTACGTTGGTAATAAAATACATGTTACATTCCAGTGAATGGTGATCATGAAAGGACCAGAAATGAATTTGGGGGGGAAACAGAGTGACATTCTGAATTAATATAATTGGAGATGGGAGATGCTTTGTTAGGAACCATGATTAAATGGGTGTACAGAGTGTCGCAAAGAATCTTTGGGTCATCCAAAGACACAAGAATGAATGAGAATTATATTGTGAGCATCTGCTTAAATACTGCTTCAGATATATAACTCGGGCATGCAAGAATGAATGAGAAGTATATTGTGAGCATCTGCTTAAATACTGCTTCAGATATATAACTCGGGCATATGTCTATTGAGATATGCACAAGAAAAACGACTTCTTTCATTGTTTATAACGAAAATATGAGAGAATTAACAAGCAATTCACGAGTAAGTCTCAATCTATGAAGGAGCATTAATTGACAGAGTCAAGAGTGAATTTGAAGTGAAATGGACATGAAAGTAATTGGAACGAAAGGAAAATGTCTACTGGACTGGAAGAAAACTTCTTCTTCCATGTCTAGATCAAACTTTAAACTGCCAGAATGAAGCCAGCTTCTTGCTTTATTGTTGGCTATAGATAAGTCATTATTGGTACATGTTTCTGGAAGTAGCTGACATACCAGCAGATGGACCAGGCTCTGTGTCTCCCCACATTCACACAGTGTGTTGTTATCCACTTGAGCATATTGGTTCTACCTTTTGGCCCTCCAACTCTCAACCTATTCGGTGTCCTTCAAGTAGTATAAGGGAGGTCAGATCCTTCAGCCATCTCCTCCTTTAAGGTTATTCCTCACTCGATGGTCTCCTTCCTCCATCTTTTGATTCAATTGTAAGGTGGCGGGAGTAGATGGTGTCACTGGAGAAAAACAGATGTGGTTTAGTAGTAAAGTTGGAAGGGATCTTGGAGGTCATCTAGTCCAATCCCCTGCTCAGGCAGGAAACCCTATACCATTTTGGACAAATGGCTGTCCAGTCTCTTCTTAAAAACTTCCAGTGTTGGAGCATTCACCACTTCTGGAGGCAGGTTGTTCCACTGGTTAATTGTTCTCACTGTCAGGAAGTTTCTCCTTAGTTCTAGGTTGCTTCTCTCCTTGATTAGTTGAATCACTTCTCATCAACCTGCTTGCTTTTCATCTTGGTTAGAAGATGTTTCATGGGATCTTTGAAGGACAGGAGAAAAAGAAAGAGTCTCTGAACACAAGAGCGTATCTAAGCATCTTGTCTCCAAATGATGAACTCTGCTCCTCAGGGCAGGAGAAACCACTGTGAGCAGTGGATAAATAATACATTTCCTTTGTTTTGCAGGAATTCTGGGGGCCGAGATGCAGTCCGATCAGCAGTGAGCAGTTTACACAGCAGGTCTAATAGGTTCGTAAAATAGATGATGTGTTCCTTTGTTTTCTGCTTGAAGGGGCTATTCATCTCCTTCATTGTGTCATTTTCTGCTTTTCAATGTGTTTGAGGAGAGATGCTTTATTGACTTACTCTCGAGATCTGTTTTTTTTTCATGTTTCTGGGCATTTTCTGCATAGAGACTAAACAGTATATCCCTTTAGGCCATGTTTGGTTAATTATGGTTTGTGACTAAGGCACAATGTGCCAACATTATACTATGCCACGATGGTTCTAGAAAACCATGGATAGCTGGCGAATCTAGCCATTAACTGGTCAGGCAAGTTGAAGACAAATAAACAACTGGCTCTTTCCTGGATCTAAATGCATTTCGGCCATTTCTGAAGTTTTCTGCATCTCTGTGTGATTACCCCTTCAATTTAGCATCCGATGGGTATGGGCAAGTTGCTCTCCACAACGAGAACAAACAACAGCATTTGTACCTTGCCTTCTGTCTTCAGATTTTAGTTTCAAAGAAGTCCTTTGTTTATATTACCAATATATGTGAGACGTTTCGAAGGCAATTTAGTCTTGCAGGTTTGACATTGTGGCAATCTCATAAACACATAAAAATGTGTTAGCAATATATTATCAAATTGAAAAAAAAGGGGACAGTCGTATCTTGAGTCATTGACCTGAAGACGTGGCATTTAGTTACTGGTCAACAAATCAGCACTGGTTGGGGGGGACAGTTCTCTAAGAGGGTGAAGTTTCGTTCTCCAAGCTTCTGAGTTGGTTCCCAAGCGTTTCATTACCAGGCTAGGTAACCTACCTACCTATCCATCTTCTTTGCTCTCCTTTTTTCTCTCCAGAACGGAAGGGACACTAAATGGGTCTTCATCTCCATCTGTTGCTGAAAAAAGTAATGACAACATTAAGATCCATGACCAGACGGTTCAATCCCAGTGGATGTACAATCAGACGCTGTCATTGACCATCAGGTACGGGAAATGGCCTGCCAAGACAAGTGTCAGCCGTGGTTGACAAATGACAGGCAAAGGCCAAGTGGGTGCCAGTTATGTGGTGGGCAAGGAGTAGAACAACCAGGGGTCAAATCCACTGTCCATTCATGGGGTGAGTTTGGGCCTTCCAAATGACAGGCGGGTTTCTAATCCCCCTCTTGACACATGGCCCCACCGGCAGCTTCCTTAACACAAATGATTTTAAAGATAAGCAGAGTAAAATTGCTTAAAAAGCTCCTGGAGAAAAGCCAGTATAGGTAACCTTTACTTACCATCATTTATTTAGTGACCGTTCAAAGTTACAAAGGAACTGAAAAAGGTGACTTATGACTTTTTTTTCACGTTTACGACCGTTGCCGCATCCCCGGGGGTCACGTGATCAAATTTCGGAAGCTCGGCAACTGGCTCACATTTATGATGGTTGCCATGTCCCGGGCGGGGGGTGACGTGATCCCCTTTTGTGACCTTCGGACAAGCAAAATCAATGGGGAAGCCAGGTTCACTTAACAACCGTATTACTAACTTAACAACTGCAGTGATTCATTTAACAACTGTGGCTAGAAAGGTTGTAAAATGAGGCAACAATGTTTAGCAACCGTCTCACTTAGCAACAGAAATTTTGGGCTGAGTTGTGCTTGTAAATCGAAGACTACTTGTATATTGTACAGTTATTCTTAAAAAGCAGAGAGGTCAGTTTGTACGCCCAAATCCACTTTTTCCAACCTAATGTACGATCCTGGCTGCCATCTTGACTTCTCAGACCTCCACCTCCTATCCCTACTTCATATATCTTAAGGCTTCGATTCCCAGAATTCCTGAGCAAAGATGTCTCAATCTTCCCCCTGCTCTCAAAAAATAGAAGTAATACAGTACTCATATTCATGCCCCCCCCTCCCCGGAAAAAAATGCCTTCATATTGTGGAATATATAAAAAGAAACCATTTGCAGGCACCAATGAATTACTTTCTCCTTTTGTTCCATTGTACCCTTCTGTTTGGATAAGCTGGAGTCCCTCAAAGAGTCGGATGGCTCCAGGCTAGAAAACCTTGTTGACAGAACTGAGGAAATGATTTTTGCATGAAGTGCACATAGATTATGCATGCCATGAAGTATTAGTATTGCAGAAAAGGCCTCGGAGTTGAGCTGAACGCCTGAGGAATGCACATCCGTGTAGCTGGTCAGGAATGGAGGCCTACCTTTCAACTTCTTGGTTTTCTTTTTGCCTTTTTGTGGGGGGGAGGGGGTCTCTTCCTCCCCCAATTTTCCTTACTAATCTGGGATCTGATCCGGCTGCTATCTTCAACAAGGTTATAAAATCAATGTCAGTACAGGAAGGGAAGGGAAGGAGATGTGGAAGTGCAGAGCAAGAGAAGAAGGAAGGAAGGAAGGAAGGAAGGAAGGAAGGAAGGAAGGAAGGAAGGAAGGGAGGGAGGGAGGGAGGGAGGGAGGGAGGGAAGGGAAAGAAGGAGATGTGGAAGTACAGAGAAAGAGAAGAAGGAAGGAAGGAGATGTGGAAGTGGAGAGCAAGAGAGGAAGGAAGGAAGGAAGGAAGGAAGGAAGGAAGGAAGGAAGGAAGGAAGGAAGGGGAAGGCAAGGGAAAGAAGGAGATGTGGAAGTGCAGAGAAAGAGAGGAAGGAAGGAAGGAGATGTGGAAGTGCAGAGAAAGAGAGGAAGGAAGGAAGGAGATGTGGAAGTGGAGAGCAAGAGAGGAAGGAAGGAAGGAAGGAAGGAAGGAAGGAAGGAAGGAAGGAAGGAAGGAAGGAAGGAAGGAAGGAAGGAAGGAAGGAGATGTGGACCGGGAGAGAAAGGAAGGAAGGAAGGGGAGGGAGGGAGGGAGGGCTAGGCAGTATTCCTGAAGCATAATGGCTCTTTCTGTTCTTCTCTTCTGAAAGAAAACACATCCTGAAGTTTTTGGATGCCGAGAAAGACATCTCGGTGCTGAAGGGAACTCTGAAACCAGGAGACATCATCCACTATGTGTTTGACAGAGACAGCACCATGAATGTTTCCCAAAATCTCTACGCCCTCTTACCAAGGACATCCCCCCTGAAAGGCAAGCATTACCGGACCTGTGCCATCGTGGGCAATTCGGGCATTCTGCTGAACAGTGGCTGCGGCAAGGAAATTGACACCCACAGCTTTGTGATAAGGTAACAGCTCATGGAAAGGGCAGAGTGTCTCCTCAGCTTCAGGAAGGGTAGGACAGTCCTTGGATGGTAAAGAAGCAGGCTACCTTTTAGGGAAATTTCTTTCTCTCCCTCCTTCTCTCCTTCCTTTTCTCCTTCCCTCCTTCTCTCTTACTAGCGTACCACCTAACTAGGCTGCTTAGTTCCTTATTGGCTCTTTCCTTATTTCATTTAAACTATGAGCCTAAAGAAGCTGTCGACAGATGGAAAAAGGCTTGGACCATGGAAGCTGTGCCATCTAGAGCAGGAGGCATCAGAGTGGCACAAGCAGCATCGTGCCCAAAGGAGTAGAACTTCGGCACAAGCCTTCAATAGCAATAAACTTATATACCGCTTCACCGGGCTTTACATCTTTCTCTAAGCAGTTGACAGAGTCAGCCTCTTGCCCCCAACAATCTGGGTCCTCATTTTACCAACTTCAGAAGGATGGAAGGCTGAGTCAACCTTGAACCAGTGAGAATCGAACTGCCAAACTACTGGCAGCTGGCAGTCAGCAGAAGTAGCCTGCATGCAAGGAATTTGGGTTATGCCTGCGAAACCATCTCCCATTGCCACCTCTGCCGGTCCATGGAGTCAGAAAGGCTGAGAATTACTGCTCTAGATGATGTCTAGAATGTAATATGTACTGTCCTTTTTTTTTTAGTATTTATGACTCTTATTGTTTTATCTAAGTATAAAATATAAGGTAAAATAAAAATGGGAAACTAAGGGAAGGAAAAAGAGACGGGGAAAGAAAATATGAGGTACACGGGAAAAAAGAAAGAAGTGTTGACTTCCAACTCTTTTTAGCACAGTAGAAGATAACATTACAACCTCAGCTTTTTACTTTGACACATTAGTATATACTAGCCATTTCCGTAACAACAAATCTCTCCAATCAGCACAACCAAAGTCAATGTTTCATATCTTTTTTTCATCACAAGCACAAAATCCAGAAGTGATTTCCATATTTTAAAAAAAACGTAATTAAATATATCCTCCTCTTGGAATAAAACAATCAATTTCTGCTTTTTTCTTCCTTGCTGTGGAAATAATACGTATTCCTGTTTGCACTTATAATCTTTATAAACTATCACCATTTATATTAACAAAATCCACTGTATTCTTTCAGATCCTTTAACCTTAAAGGGAAACATGAGCCTGTATCCTAATCTTTTCCATTTCCAGATGCAATCTAGCCCCAGTGCAGGATTATACCCACGACGTTGGAACAAAGACCGATCTGGTCACCATGAACCCTTCCGTCATCCAGCGTGCCTTTGAGGACCTGGTGAATGACACTTGGCGGGAGAAGCTGCTTCAACGCCTTCATAGCCTCAACGGCAGCGTCCTTTGGATCCCGGCATTCATGGCCAAAGGGGGGAAGGAACGGGTGGAGTGGGTCAACGAACTCATCCTCAAGCATCACATTAACGTCCGCACCGCCTACCCTTCCCTGCGACTGTTGCATGCTGTACGAGGGTGAGCGGTTCTCAGGCTACAGAGGATGAAATAAAACAGGAGGGGAATGAATTGGGGGATGAATCCTACATTTAAAATGTGGGACGGTTCCATCGTCTCAGTTGAGACAAAGCAGAGGAGATGGAGGGAGCGATGGAGGGCTTCTAAGGAGCTCTGCCTTTATATTCGTGCACTGAACTGGTAAGGGAGGATAAAAGTGAGAATTGAGTCCTGGAGCCAGGGAAAAGTGTGAGAAAGTAGCTCAGAATAATATCACTGTCACACCTGCCTCGACTTGGATCCTTAGGAAAGAAAGACCCTCGACTCCATTTTGTGCAAAAAAGGTATTCTTTTACTAAGAGCCAAGGGGGTTACAGTATAGCAAAGCCAGAATTAAAGGTTAGACTAGCCAAACCCAAGTCCCGCAGCCGTTCTTCGTATGTTTTAGTCTCCGGGCCTTTGATCACCTTAGTTGCTCTTCTCTGAATTTTTTCCAAACTCTCAACATCTTTTTTGTGATATGGTGACCAGAATTGGTTGCAGTATTCCAGGTGTGGTCTTATTAGGGCTTTATATAGTGGTAATATTACTTTGTGTGATCTTGAGTCTATATAAAGCAGTAATATTACTTCGCGTGATCTTGATTCTATAATGATGATTTTGTGTAAAGAAGTATTCCCCCCCAGTGGTCTCAAACTCATGCCAAAGGAAGTTAACCATTTCTCATATGATTTTTGTTCCTTTCCAGGTATTGGCTGACAAACAAAGTCTACATTAAGCGTCCCACCACTGGTTTATTGATGTACACCCTGGCAACTCGCTTCTGCAACCAGATTTACCTCTATGGTTTCTGGCCATTTCCCCAAGGCCCAGACCAAAACCCTGTTAAGTACCACTACTATGACAGCCTGAAATATGGCTACATGTCCCAGGCCAGTCCTCACACCATGCCTTTGGAATTCAAAGCGTTGAAGCTCTTGCACCACCAAGGAGCCTTGAAACTCACCGTCGGGCCCTGCAATGGAACCACGTAAAAAGAGGCTTCTGGCAAGCCACTTTCCTGGAGGCTGTGCCCCATGGGAGGATTGGGGAGGGGAGGCTGGGAGGAGTGGTAGATGGAGAGGTGGGTTTTCTTGGTTGGGGAGAATGGCCACCAGGGCTCTGCGTTGAATCGCAGCCAGCATTTGGTGCAAGGACCAAAAGAGCTGGGGAAGAACCTTACGAGAACATGGCCTTTGCCCTTCCCAGGCCTGGAAGCCACTGTGATGTGTATGGGTACTTTAGTGTGACAACTCAGTGTTAGGCCAGATGTTGTGCGTGGTCTAGAATTGGTAGGTAGGGCCCGTTTGGCTAAGAAAGCTGGGCATTTCTCAGTTCGTGTTGTGTTCTTGGCTTAGTGGATGTAGGGGTAGGGATTAATCCTTAGAACTGCTATTTTTCAAGCAGGGAGAGAACAGAGTAGAGACACTGCAGGTCAGTTCTCAAAAAGCTACTGGCCAAGGAGAGCTTAACCGTGCCGTGTGGAGACTTTTTTCAACTGGGCCCATTCAGAAAGCAACAGAGCAAGGCTGACAAAGTTGACTCAGGATCCTCAAGCACAAGAGGACTGGAGTTCATAACATTCCCACTGGAAGAGAAAACATCAGCCCATTCATCAGACAGCGCGGCTCGTTATTATTATTATTATTTTAAAAAATAAAATACGGAAGCGGACTAAAAGGGCAGTATCATTTTGTTTCCCGCTGTGGTTTTCCTCTCCCTTGGCAGAGATGCCCCTTTCAGTGGTACTAAATAAGCGATGCCAGTCTGGAGCATCCATCGGGGTGGCGTCACTTATGGGCGGCCATAACTGTACAAACAAAGCCCTGCTCCTTTTTTTTTTTTTTTTAACATGCGCTGCCCTAAGTGTGACTTGAAGGAAAGAATTGACATTTGAGGGTTTCGATTTGTGAAAGCAAATTCACAGGCTGGGGTGTTGTTTTTTTCTTCTTCTTTCCAACTGTTTTATTGTGCTTTAACAGATTTGTTAATAAACCCAATTTTAAGTCATGGTAGCAATCTGTGCCTTCATTATTGGAGGCCTGGCTTCCACAAACAGCAGAGGACAAATCGGTCTGAGGCTGGAATGGTACCCCATCCAGTGACAAATTCCTTGTGTGTCTAAATCACACTTGGCCAAATAAAGTATTCAATTCAATTCATCCCTGCCTGAAAAACTTGCAGATCCAGAAGAATGTTTTGCACACTGTGCAGGGAATGAAGTGCTCTGTAATAAAACACAGCAAAGATGGAAAGGAAGTTTAATCCATCTTTAATTATAGATTAATGGATAAGTATCTAAGGAGCTGCCAATATCTCAGGGGCTGCCCCAAAGAAGAAGGAGTCAAGCTGTTCTTCAAAGCACCTGAAGGCAGGACAAGAAACAACGGATGGAAACTAATCAAGGAGAGAAGCAACCTGGAATTAAGGAGAAACTTCTTAATAGTTAGAACAATCAATCAGCAGAATGACTTGATTCCTAAAGTTGAGGCTGCTCCATCACTGGAAGTTTTGAAGAAGAGATTGGACAGCCATTTGTCTGCAATGGTAGAGAGTCTCCTGCTTGAGCAGAGGGTTGGTCTAGAAGACCTCCAAGGACCCTTCCATCTTTGTTATTCTTTTGTCTTGCCCCATCTTCAGTTCCTCTCCTTTTCCCAGAAAACTGCCACAGAGCACTTAACATGGAGTTTGGTGACACACATGCCTCTTCTCTGCATGGCAACGTAAGAAATGTGTGCATGGATCACATTGCCTCTCATCCTTGGTCATTGGTTATGTTGGCTGGGACTGATGGAATTGGAGTCCAATGATATTTCAGTACTGGAGGGAGGGGTGATATATTCTTTGGTTCTGATGGTAGGTGGCTAGATACTCCCCTCAAAAAAGAGTAGAATGAGATATTTCAGAAGGTGCCATTATGGACAGATGAACATATGAAGGCTACTGGACCAAATTCCATTATTTCCTTCAACTGGAAAGAGCTTTCCAAGATATAAGCTAGTTATTTTCCTGTGAACAAGAATGAACAAGAAAGGTCTTTTTCCCTAATAACCCTTCTTGTTCATATTTCCAACATATATTTGAAGGGCCTGCATCCAGTCTGGATAATTTTTCTGGTGTCATAAACCAATGGAACATATTAAAAAAAGAATATAATATAGGGTAAATTTCAAATAAAACCACACCTGGAATACTGCAACTAATTTTGGTCACCACGCTACAAAAAAGATGTTGAGATTTTGGAAAAAGTTCAGAGAAGAGCAACTAAAATGATCAAAGGAGACTAAAATGTATGAGGAACGGCTGCAGGACTTGGGTTTGGCTAGTCTAAAGAAAAGAAGAAACAGAGTACAGTATTCCAATATTTGAGGGGCTGCCACAAAGAAGAGGGGGGTCACATTATTTCCAACAATGGTTGGAAACTGATCAAAGAGAGAAGCAACCTGGAATTAAGGAGAAACTTCCTGACAATGAGGACAATTAACCAGTGGAACAGCTTGACTCCAGAAATTGTGGGCGCTCCATCACTGGAGATTTTTAAGAAGAGATTGGACAGTCACTTGTCTAAGATGGTATAGGCTCTCCTGCTTGAGCAGGGGGCTGGACTAGAAGACCTCCAAAGTCTCTTCCAGTTCTATTTTATTCAATTATAGCAATCACATGCTTTCCCATTGTTCCAGTGAAGTGCAGGAAATCAGGAGCCAAGGGAGATTTATTGCATGCTAGATCTCTCTACAAGAATCTGAACTAATAACAATCCAAGCGAGTTGGCAGTAGATAAGAGTCAATGGAATTCAAGTTGGGCTGGACTTAGATCTCTTGTGGGCACAAAAGGACTCAAGACTAGTGGCATGTTTGACCCCTCTCTCTGGCTCAGCCTGGTCATCTCCTCTGATTCCATCTGTATGCTGTAATCAGCATTTTTAGTCAACTCAACATTTGTACACAATTCTATTTCAAATTCTGTCTCACGTTGTTCAGTACCATGAATTCTTTTATCTACTTTTAATCCTATAACCATAAGTAAGAAAGCCACTGACAACTATATCCCTCCGTCATCGGTTTTTTTCTTGATAATACTTTATATTTCCCTTGGGTCTTCTGTAGTTTTCCCTGTGGTGATGAATCTTCCTAAAAGAAAAAGATATATGAGATATTAATTTTCATCTTGAGTGAAACAGATTTTTATGGACTTTATCTCCTCAAATAGCGAGATGGGGAAGATATACATCAAAACTCTTCTTAAGCCCCATAATGAAATTCCTGGTACAAGAAGGATGTCTTGATTTAGAAAAGGCTATAGAGCTTGAATTTGTTGTGAACGGTTGAAGGACTTCCTAATCTTTACTAATAGATGCCTTCCTAAGCAGCTGCTAGGGATATCTCTGTCTGATGCAGCTGTGTTCCCTCATCCAAAACCCATAGCTGAGATTGTGTTTGGATCTTTCTGATCCAGAGTAGCTGTTTTCCCTCTTCTCCTGACACAAACCTTGTTATTTGCATGATGAATACAACTAGGATGAAAACACAATAGGAGTGCTGGCTATCCAGCTCCATTCGGCATCTTCTCTTTCTTTCCTCAGCCACTTTGGTTCTGACAATGTGACTTGTCAGAAGAGAAACAACAATGCCCAGATCACTAAGGAAAGCTATAACATCAAGAGGACTTTGGAAGGTTGTGTCTGGGACATTTGCAGGTTTGTGGACTTCAGATCCCAGAGTGCAGCCACCAGCACAGCCATTGATGAAATTCTGGGAGTTGGAGTCCACACAACTGGACATGGCTAAGCTTGGGAAACACTGCTCTAGAAACATCTGTCTGTAAGGATGATTCTGGTCTATGTCTTTCTCTAGTGATCATTGAGGTAAAGATAAAGCATTCCCCTGTCCAGTCGTGTCGGACTTTCTGGTCATCTCTGTTTCTTAGCCAAAGGAGACTTCCGTGGTCATGTGGCCAACATAAGTATATACCAAGGTGCACGGAATGCTGTTTCCTTCTCATGGAAGTGGTACCTATTTATTTACTCACATTTGCAGGTTTTCCATTAACAAGTTCAGCATCTTTAACCACTGAGCCATTACACCCCCCTTTAGTGAGCATAATGATGCTTTAATAATGGAGGTAGAGCAGGGCCTCCTTGATTGACTAGACCAGGGGTAGGCAACCATGCTGGCTCAGGAATTCTCGGAGTTGAAGTCCACGAGTCATAAAAGAGCCAAGGTTGCCTACCCCTGGACTAGACAAGTACCAAACTCACTAGAGAAACTATAGACCAGATGTCAGCATAGGGATCTGGCTGCCAGTTGGGAACATGCGTTTTTACATACATCTGACATGTGAGACGTTCCAAAAAATGCTGGGCAGTGCATATATTTACAGCTTCCGACAGATGGCAAAACGTGCTGCTCTAGCCATCTGTCAAAATTTGCCTTCTTCCCAGCACACAGTCAGAGGAGAGATTGATGGATGAGGTTCCTGCTGTATTTTTGTTTGCCCCCTTGTGAACTGTTAGATCGGCACCATTCAGCAGTTCTGCTCACAAAGGCAGAGTAAATAAAGAAATAAAACAGCAAAACCAACTCAGAAGAAATTCTCAGAAATGGAGCAAGCGTTTACCAAGAAAGTTCATAAATCCTAGCTCAACTCTGGCGTTGAGCTAAAAAAAAAATTTGCCGCCCTTTCCAAGATTTCTCTTCAACTGCCACCATTTTGAATTGTGTTGTGGATGCAGGCCCAAACCTATTCCATCGCAGGAAGCTTTTAAGTCTGAGAACTTGATATTGCTTCTGGCATCTTAATGACTTTTGCTAAAATAGTTTAGGTCTTGGCTGCGAGACCGCCAAGTTGTGGACTCTTGATGCATCTCACTATTATCTCAAACAGGAAGCAATTTTTTTTGCCCCCCCCCCAAGCTAAGGAAATGCCAAATGAAAGCCCACTATAACAACTCAATAGATTTGTTCTACTTTCTTGGATGACTCTGTTACTGACAAGAGCTGAACTTCCAGCGACCTCCCTTATCTTTACTTGGGGTTAAAGGCTATAACTGTAAGTGGAAACATCAGCAAAGTGAAAGGCTGGGAAAATGCAGGAGAGGCATCTTTGAAAAGAAAGCACATGAAGGAAGGGAGGCCATTTAAGTGATGGGCTCTACCTATAAAGGTTGGTTCTCAGGATTTGTCCAGCTCTAATGCAGGGTGAAGCAAAGTTGGTGTTTCCATAAGCATCAGAGCATCCAAAGATGCTTCCCTTGAATACACAGTAACAGAGCTGGAAGAGGCATTGGAGGTCTTCTAGTCCAACCCCCTACTCAAGCTTATTAATTTTCAGAAGGAGAAGAGAGGGGGGATGTGAAATAGCTTTTGCTGCTTGTGTAAAAACCAGCTGATCTTGATGTTAGCAGCTCAGTCAGTTTCGGTTTTTCCAATGCATGAATGAGCGCCAGAATGCTGTGCCGCTTGGAAGCAGGGTGGAAGTCAGCCCCACCAGCTGTCTTTGGGACTGTTCTTCTCCAGAAGGTGGCATGGGCAGGTTGGGAAATATCTCAAGGCCCATCTTGTCAAGAGAATGGGACAAAAGGGATACTGATGCTGCTCGGATGGGAATCCACATAAGTGTGTGTTCCATTGCAAACATCTGCACTAGCGCCCTGAATAACAGCAGATGTTTTTTTTTTTAATATAATGTGGATCTCTCTCTCTCTCTCAGAATTCCTGCTGACTTCTGACATCTGCATTAGCTCCTGCTGGCAAAGGCTGAAAGAGCCCCCCACCTGGATGCTCTCCAAATTGCAAGAAATCTCAACCACTTCTTTGTTGTGAGCGCCATGTAAACACTTAAGCAGGAGGGAAACGCTGGGACTGCTTTTTTCAATATTTGAAAAGGGCATCTTTTCCTGGCATTATGCTGAGAATTGTGGCATTCCTGTTATATATGGAATGCTTGAAATGGGATAAGAAAAAAATCTTCCTTCCTTCCTTCCTTCCTTCCTTCCTTCCTTCCTTCCTTCCTTCCTTCCTTCCTTCCTTCCTTCCTTCCAGAAGCTGTACTCTGCTTTTTTCCCCTTTCCTCTTGTGACTCTACAGCAGGCATCCTCAACCCCTGGGCCACGGGCCACTACCGCGCTGTGGCCTATTCAGAACCGGGCCAGGCAAGTGGCGTGCACAGCTCAACTTGCACAAGCGGCGGGCCAGCGTGTGTGCACACATGCACACAGCTCAACTCACACAAGTTGAGCTGCATGTGTGCATGCACCCAGCCAACACTTGTGCAAGTTGAGCTGCATGCTTGCATGCCCTGGGTTGCCACTTGTGTGGCCTGGTTCCCCTCTCCTCCCCCCCCCCCAGCCAGGCCTCCAAGCTGCAAGGGTTGGGGACCGCTGCTCTACAGGATATCCCAGGTCTGCATTTCTTCTCCCCAAACTTCCTATCAAAAACTAGACCTGCATCTTCCATTTTATTACACTGTTTATTTTATTGGCTTCTTTACTTTAGATGAGACTTCCATCAATTGATGCTTCCTCCAACTTTGCTGCTTTTCTTCTCCTGTCCCTCTGTCTACACAGAAGCAGGACTTCTACTAGAGTGCACGAGCCTCCAAAGTCTTCACAGTCACAACTTTTTCCCAATCGAGGCTTGTCTGAATGATGGGCAGCTGTCTCCGAAAATACTTTATGTAGTTGCTGTTCATGTGGTCGTACTCTTCCATTATTTTACTCTGGATCTCATTTTCCATTTTTTCCACCAGTTTTGCAAAGTCCTTTGCTGTCTGGGCTTCATCGGTGACCAGCAGTGTCTCCTCTGCATCCTTGACTACTATCAGGTGTATGTTGCCATCTTCAAAGTAGTGTGCCTGGATCATGATGACTCCGGTCACCTGAGTGGATGTAGAGGCAGGAGCTAGAGCAAATGTCCATTCTGATTTCCACAAGCCATTCCAGAAGGCAGAAGGCTTGTATCGGTGACTTTCAATGCAAGCCACAAAGATCTTCCGCATAGCTGTGTCTTTGACGAAGACGCTACAAAGCCCATCAGGGTAATGGTTGTCAACATAAACTTTTAAGGACTCATGGAGGGCTCTCCTCCATAGTTCTCCTTTTTTGTCCTCTTCAGGGTGAGACTGGAAGTCACTTGGTATTCTCCTCAAGTGGTCATACTTGAAAGAGATTTGGTTCTGTGGATCCAGGAAGTAGTTGTCCTCCAGCTCATTGTGGCGAGTCAAGAGAACTTCACATTTCTTGCTTCGTACTGGTGTGAAATGGTCCTTGTTATACACAGCACAGAGAGTGGGTGCTTCTTCACACATCATATTATCATCTTCTACTAGCATGCGTAAGTCACTGAAGGCCTCATTAAATTCTCCAGGTGGGATTTGTTTCAGGAATCTACTCACTATTTGGGCTTTTTCTGTCTTGATTTGGGGATGTTCTGCAGACATCTTGGCCTTTTTTTGTTTTTTGCAAAGGATGGATCTTGGAATTGTGAACACAGATGACCTACAGACGAAAAGTACCCATGGCATTAATTTAAGATTAGTGAGGACAGTAGATTTTGATTTTACTCTGAGACCTCATTAAATCAAGAAAACTTGCTTGTTCGTGTCATCCCCTTTCAGAAGACTGAATTAACAGAGACACATTGGCATGATTTAGCTCCACAGTTGTCTCTATGTGACCTAGAATGGACTAATTAGTTGTGTATTTCAGAGGTGGGCTACCGATATCTAGAAGCAGTTCATAAAATTTGCATCTGAAGCTATACCTGAATCGGAATTTACAAGTACAGTAGACTACAATAATGTTTGGATCTGCTGTACGACACTCTGTGGCACACACAGCCTTCTAATGAAGTTATTGCTTTCAGCAGGTTTTTAAGAACTCCATCTCCATAAGTGGAAATATGAAAAAGTCCATCAGTATTAAAAGAACCTCACTTTTTTTTAACTCTGTTGATTGTGAATCAGTCCTACTGAAGAAGACTCAAGAGAAATGACTGACTTATTTAGATTTTTTTTAAAAAGTTGGCAGATGAAGTTGGCTGGGGGAAAAAGGAAACCATCATCCCCTTCCCAAAGAAATGTATTTGTACCAAATGTACAGGTACAGATTAGGTAAAACCTGTCTCAATAGCAGTAACTGTGAGAGGGATCTTGGAGTCCTAGTGGACAATCACTTAAATAGGAGCCAAGCAGCCAAAAAAGTCAACCCAGTCCTAGGCTGCGTCAGCAGAAGTATAGAATCAAGGGAAATGTTATTTCCACTTTATAATGCCTTGGTAAGACCACACGTGGAATATTTCATCCAGTTTAAGTCACCGCAATATAAAAAAGATGTCGAGACTCTAGAAAGAATGCAGAGAACAGCAACAAAGATGATTAGAGGGCTGGAGGCTAAAACGTATGAAGAACGATGGCAGGAACTGGATATGGCTAGTCTAACGAAGAGAAGGGTTAGGGGTGACATGATAGCAGTCTTCCAATATTTGAGGGGCTGTCAGAGAAGAAGGGGTCAATCTCTTCTTCAAAGCACCTGAAAGCAGGGCAAAAGGTGATGGATGGAAACTAATCAAGGAAAGAGCAATCTAGAATTAAGGAGAAATTTCCTAACAGTGAGGACAATTAACCAGTGGAAGGGCTTGCCTTCAGAAGTTGTAAGTGCTCCATTACTGGAGGCTTTTAAGAGACTGGACAGCCACTTCTCTGGAATGGTACAAGGTCTCCTACTTGAGCACGGGGTTGGACCAGAAGACCTCCAAGGTCCATTCCAACTCTGTTACTCTGAAATCTAAAAATCCTTTTAATCTGAAACACAATATTATAAGAAAGCAGACATGTCAGGTGACAAAAAGGTGGAGCATCCTGGATGCATCTCTTGGTGTCCACAAGGATCCCTGTCACTATTTTTTTTCCCTATTAGACCAATTTACTTTTTCTAAAAACAAATGCTAAAGCGCCGTGCTGCTAGAGAAAGCCACTGCTTCTGGCATGAACTGCTTTTCTAAGGATGCTTCTGGGCTCTGATAAGATCCCAGAGGCAGCCTTAGAAGATTGAAATGGTAGCTGGTCTCAAGGGCGCGCTTGCTTTAAAAGCATGCCCTTCTGCAAGAAAAATCAATTAACTGCAAGCTATAGAAACATAAGGTATCCTGGGAAGCTAGAGGAGAGCCCTTCCGCCCGTTCGCCTCCTAACAGATTGTTCATTGGTAGCTGGCCATTCCCAACCGAGGTAGCCATTTTGTGAGAGTGCCCACAACAGGCTTCAAAATTTCAACTGTGTTCCATCAAATGGTAGTAACGGTGTTACTCTGGTGTTGTGTGAGGGGAAAACCCCACTTGGTCTGTTGCACTGAGCAGATTCTGAAAAGGGCTTAATTTAGGTTGACTCCAGGTTCCACTCTAGTTTACCTTCAGATATCTTTCAAGACTCTTTGGTTCTTTCTCTCCTTACCTAACCCTTTTCTAGCAAAGAGAAGAACTAGGGGAGATATGCTAGCAGGGTTCCAATATTGGGGAGGGGCTGCCACAAAGCTGAGGGGATCAAAATGATCAAGATGAGGTGTTTTCCAAAGCACCAGAAGGCAGGACAAAAAAAAAAAAAAAAAAAACAATGGATGGAAACTAATCAAGGAATGAAGCTACCTAGAACTAAGGAGAAATTTCCTGACAGTGAGAACAAATCAACCAATGGAACGGCTTGCCTTCAGAGGTTGTGGATGCGCCATCACTGGAGACTTTCAAGAAGAGACTGCACAGTCATTTGTCTGAAATGGTATAAGGTCTCCTGCTTGAGCAGCGGGTTGGACCAGAAGACCACCAAGGTCCCTTCCAACATTCTATGTTCTTACTCCTTATTTGGCTTTTGTTGTTTGAAGCCTGACCTGGGATATGCAACTTCCTGGTTCAAACAGGACCCCAGAAGAACTTGCTTGCTCTCATTTGATTGCTCCACTGGACACTAGTTTTCAAACTTGGATATTCTATGTTTCCTGGCAACCAAGACACACCACTCTGATTCTGATTATTGAGTTGCAAATCAGCTTTGATGGTCTTTTCCTGTCTCTTCCAGAATTTCTTCAAATCATTCCTTAAATGTCAGAAGCAAAGTTTGTCCCTAAGTAATGGGGACTGAATTCAATCTGATCTGAGGGCAAAGCAACAAATAAAATGCATTCTGGGTTTCCAGTAGGCTTAGCACATATATTTTTGATTGGGCGTGTTGGTTTTCTTAATTTGTTTTTAACACCTCCTAAAATTCAACCCTTGCAGAGGGCACTAATGTGGACCTCTCTAAGGAAATTTGTTCTAGGGTTTTTTTAAACAAGCTTTTGATATGCAGAGCTAGCAAGGCTGGCTGGCTTTATGCTGTCTCCTTTGACAGTTACCATTTAGTTTATTTCTGAATAGGTTTCAAATGTGTACTTTTGCTTTCAGAGATACTTATTTTCTGTTGGGCATTTTTCAGAATAAAAGAAGAAAGTCAATTCCCCATGAGTAGACTTCCTCAGAATTCATTGACAATTGCCGTGAATATAATGAATACATTTTGGTGGTGCAGGCAAGGGGTATGTTAATGTGGAAGAAATTGTTTTTCCTCTAAAAGGAAACATCGATTTTTTTCTCTCTCTCTCCATTAGGGTGCTAAAAAAGAGATTGGAAGAGTGCAGAAAGCTGAGACAGAAATGATGATGATGATGATAAAAACAGTCTAATTTAATTGTTTGTAATTGCAGAACAAATCTCAGAAACCATACTGTCTCATTCCAAATCCTAAAGATTGAATTCCTGAACCCAGATTATTAAAAGATAACCCTTTGGTGCTGACAGTCTCATCTACCACACCAAGCCACATTACTATTTGCAGAGGAGAACTTTCAACAAGCCTTTACTAGCAATTCCTTAAAAAATTGCATTTCCTTCCTTACTTCCTCCCTCCCTCCCTCTCTCCTTCCTTTCCTTCCTCCCTCCCTCCCTCCCTCCCTCCCTTCCTTCCTTCCTTCCTTCCTTCCTTCCTTCCTTCCTTCCTTCCTTCCTTCCTTCCTTCCTTCCTTCCTTCCTAAATTTATAATAGACAAACTTTAGGACACATCTCACAGTGACTCTAGGCGGCTTACAAACAGTAAAAACACAAATAGAAAAATTTAAAAAAAGATAAAAAAAACAATAACCACCACCACCCACCCCACCCAGTGATAGCACATGATTAAATAGGCCATTTTATGGGTTCCATCACACTTAGGGTTCCCCAGGCCCACTGGCAAAACTAGATAGGTAGATAGATAGATAGATAGATAGATAGATAGATAGATAGATAGATAGATAGATAGATAGATAGATAGATAGATAGATGGATGGATGGATGGATGGATGGATGGATGGATGGATGGACGGATGGATACATGATAGAGACAGATAGACAGACAGATAGATGAAAAATATTTAGATGAAAGATAATGTTGATGAGATGGGATAGAGACAGACAGACAGACAGACACAGGGAGAGACATTTTGGGTGATGTGATGCAATACATTAGCTGGCCTAGAATTTACACATTTCTTGGCTCCTCAGTGCCTTAATTGTGAGGAAGAGATTTTTTTTAAAAAAATTAAAACGTGACAGTTTCATCATACCGAATATGAGCAAAATGCCATCCGTATTATAAATCCCCCGAATCTGACATTGGTCCCTTATGTAAGCCAGGGTTGGCAAGCCATGGCAATTTATCTTGGGACAAGTAATTTTGCAGATTCCACGCTGAACTGAAATGTAATTAGCGATGGACAGAGAACAAGACGAGGGGATGGAAAAGAAATTATGGTTCACCTGCAGACTAAATTAATGCCAATATTCTTCATTACTCCTACTTGGGTGAGAAATAATTAAGAAGAAGATAGAACACACCATCATTTAGGTGAAACGGATCAAGGTAATGTTAACTTTTCTGTATATCCTTCTTCTGTTACAGTTCTCTTGAGGAGGTTGTTAAAGTCGGGCATTTTCTTCCTAAATTGGACTAGCCTTTCATACTTTATTAAAGTCAACATATTTCTAAATTGGATTGACCTCTTCTACTTCAATGGCAACAGAGGAGGTGATGCAAATGTATTGACCCTGAGAATAGTCAAAGATGATTCTTTTTGACAACGGCTTCCATTGGTACACCTCACGTTTCCTCGCCAAGAAAATCTGCCAGAGGTTTGCATATGTCTCCAAAAATCCATTTTACCTCTTGCCAGCTTCTGCGTTATGATTTTTTAATACTTTTATTCTGCAGAACAGGTTTCCGTTTTGCCAGCTTATTCTTAGGGCCGTGGAGAAATTCATTTCGATTTCTTTCTGAAGCATTTTGGGATTTAGAACTTTGATGGAGGTGGGAAGTCTTTCTCCATTCCTTGAAGTTCCCTAATTATCCAGACTTTCCAATCTGAAAAAGCACCATCTCCACCTGTCTTCCCTCGAGACTTCATCATGAGACTGTAGGAGTTGAGGAAGGCTGTAGACCTCCAATGAAAGGAAGGACACTTGCTCATCATGCGAAATGTGGTCACCAGACTGATGAAAACAGCATTGTGGCATTGCAGTGTAAGCTCCACTGATGTTGCAACAAGGTACAAAAGAGCTCGGATCACGATGCCACACGCACCATTTGGACTTCCCTCTGCAGATGCTATCGGGTTTAGGAATATACAGGTGGTCCTCACTTTAGGACCGCAGTTGAGAGCCCCAAATTTATGTTGCTAAGTGAGAAAACTGTTAAGGGAGTCTTGTTCCTTTGTACGGCTTTTCTTGCCACAGTTGTTAAGGGAATCACTGCAGTTGTGATTATGCATATTGCATAAAGGAAATTTCTAGGGTGTCTGGGCAGGAAGCAAACTATTTCCCTCATTGAATTTCCAGCTTCTTTATCCTGTCACACACGCTTCAGCTGCCGCCAAAGTGAACTGGGTTGTAGAAATTCAGATTTCTCTCCTCCTGGAAACAAAGCACATTTTTTTCCAGATACAAAAGTTGACCCACCATTTTCTAGAGATTAGCACATTCTTTGCCCTGTTTTTTTTCCCCCCAAAGGTTAACACTGTAATTCTTTGCATTCCTGTCATTTCTATCCTTTCTTTTAGAATGGATGGTTTCATTGTGTTAAGCGTTTTGTCCAACTGCTTCCACTGAACATTCTTTTTATTGTTCATTTTATTGTGCTTATCAGGGTCTCTTGGGGAGGAAGGGGTGTGTGTGTAATCTGTATAGAAATGTTGCACAAAACACTCTCCTTCTCTCACCTTGAATTGGGGAAATGGCAAAGTTGCCTACTACATTTCTAAAACCAAACTTACTTTAAGATGAAATGCGATGAAGTTGCAATGGTTTGAAACTGTGTGTTTCATTGTGACACCGAAGACACAATACTGTCCCCACGTTTCTCTCTACCAGCAAGTTTATTCTCTGCACTCAAAATCTACAAAATTGTTTGTTTCCTCTAAACTGCTTCATTTCCAGTTTGTGCAAACGGAGTGCTGTTGCCATCTCAGAGCACCACTTTTCTTCATTTCTGCCACGGCCGGCAGCAGCAGCAGCAGAATGAGAAGGGATGATAAATTCCTCGCTTGGCAGGGCTTTATTAATAAGTAATCCAAAGCATTTATAAATAAAAAGAGACATTTAGACTATTTCCCGCTCCCTGAGTTATGAGCGGGGCAATTAAGGAGAAAGGCTTAAAATGAGCCGAACCTGCTGAATCAAAGGTGCTTCAGGGGAATAATAAAAAAAAAAATTGCTACTAGGGCTTTGATGCAGAGAAATTATTGCAAAGGTTTGCCTTCTGCAGCTTGCCAGCAAAGGCTGAGTGGACCATCGTTTATTCATAAAAATAGGCACATTAAAATGCAGCCATCAGAGAGATGGCAGGATTGAATAGATTCTGCCCCAGTTACAGCTCTCTCCAGTGAGGAAAGCTAATCAAAAGAGATCAGTCTTCACATTGGTTGAGTTCATGCAGTGTCCTTGACCAGATTAAGCAGTGATCTAATGGTTGCCTTCACCCCTGTGAAGATGGATTGATTTCATGTCAGGTTTTCTGTGTTGTAGCATAAGATTCGAACCGTCCCTTTTGGTGAATTTATAGTGCGATGAATTGTGTGAATGCAAAAAAACCCGGATAAAATCAGTAAACAAATTCAGAGTGTTGTGTGAACACAATGAGTCAACAAGCATGAGATTCTCAGTCATCCAAGTCATAGTTGTCCCAAAGGTGCTTTTTCAAAGGCAACTAGACTTCCTTCCTTTTTCCTTGAAGATGTTTCGCTTCTCAACCTTTCAGTCAAAAGTGAAGAAGCTTCTTGGGTGAGAGGCAAAGCATCTTCAGGGAAAAACAAAGGAAGTCCAGCTGCCTTTTGAAAAAGCATCTTTGGGATGACCTATTTCTGTGAATTTTACTGCTTTCCCCCACCCCCAATTCACATTAAGGAAAGTTCTGAGCATAAGATGCTCTGCAAACATGATGTTTTTCCAAAGTCAAGCTAATACGGAAAAAGAGAAAGCTGAAAGAAAGTGAAATTGACAGATCTGCCCACTGTAAAAATGAGAAGTAATGTTGCTGCACTGATTGCTTTCAAGGCCTTTGGATGGTAAGCAGAGTCAACACTTGGTTAACTGCATCTTGTCAACCCTGTATTAAGATGTTCTCGCTCGCTGAAGCCTGAGAATATTGACTGTCACTTACTAGTTGTGAAAGATTGTGGAGTGGCGAAGAAAAGAACAGAAGGAAGATTACACAGAAACTATCAAGAGACAGAAGGCAAATACATTGGCAGCTAATCTCATAAATTGCAAGTGAAGTGAGGTAGAGAAAAATCCAGGAAAGAAAAAGCATTTCCAATCATTCAAAGGGATTCCACCTTCATGAACCCACAGACAATGAGACTGGGAAATTTCTCTTGCAGTTTGCAAGATT